TACATGAGCCTTTATTATACTCCAGATGCGCTCGATGGGATTGAGAGCTGGAGAGTATGGCGCAAGGTGTAGAAGTCTCCCAGACCGGTACGGTTCCTCCAGGAAAATGTGCTCCAAGTGTGTGTGATCGGGCGCCTTGTCACAAATCAAAAGACACCTAGGGTAATTACCCCAAGTGGCTAAAATGGGAATTTATAGAGGATTGGGACACTAATCTGTCGCCAAACGAAATTAAAAACAGAATCATTTGCATTAAAACACTTAAATAACCGCCCAATCACTATTGATCTGCCATCAGTGGCTAGTCATTAGCGTGTAGTCACTGAATTGACAATATTCGGTAATAAATTCTATAAAACACAAATACAAGTCTGTAAAAGCAGCCAGTTAGATGGCGTCTCTATCGGCTCGCTTGTCAATCGTTGTTCTTTTGAGTCCCGCAGTCGTTCGCCGTGTCAAGTAACAGAGTTGAGTGAACACTCAGGTGGAGGAATTGATCAGCCGACCAGGTAAAAGGGTGAGCGAATGTTTACGAGGTTGACTGCACGGTTGCGTTCCTTGTTCGCCTGCCTATCTAACCACACGTGATACGGGATGCAACGTAATCGTACCACTGCGAGTAATCTGGAGAATCGATCTGTATGCCATTTCGTTCAGGAAATGCATATGATGGTTAAGGCAGTGTGAGGTAATCAGAAACAATACAGTACTTCGTACAAAGGAGGTAAATCTAGGACTTGTTCGCAAGTAGAAATTTTAAAGCCTTTACATCCACAAGGTTCCTGTGCTGTGTTGTTTCAGTTGGCCGTACACTCAAGTGAATAGTGTAGATACGTACCACTGATGTAGTCGGCGAATTGTATACTAAGGCCAAGTTCGCTGTGTAGGTAAGACCATCGGTGGATCTGTAACCATTGTTCCAAAGAGGAGGGTTCCTAGTGTGGCGGTGACAGGACAATGGTGAGTGTTCGTTCGTTTCCACACCAGTAGGCCACTTCGGTAATCAGTTACCGCTACAGGACCCATAGACCTGCCGTTATTTAAAGGTCTTAGATGCATGTCAATCCTGCGTTTTAACATGACATTTCCACTTCACTTCCAAGTGATTGATAAGCTTGAAATATCAAGTGACCCTAGGGCCCTGATATGATCTGCTAACAAGCATTGCATACGCATAGTAAGCATTGAGTTTGGTGCAGTTGTCCTCCATCAACAATGCCTCCGGAATTACCTAATTTCCAATGACAAAATGTTTCCGAGTAGTTGCCAAGTCGATAACAACCTGTGTCATGGCGTACGTACATGACTGCTCCTAAGACTAGCTGAAACAGTGATCCATAGCAGGATTAGTGGGCACGGTTGCCTTTGTAAATGATGGCAAACATATTGTAGGAACGCCCAAGGGTGAGACAACAGTGTTTGTCTGTTCCAAGTATTCACCTGAATTACCAGAGTAAAATGCGTGCGTCGCCACTACTTATCAGCCTTGCGTTCTTTCTAGCAGGATGATGTGGCATGTATAAACAGCGTAGTCATTGTAGCCCCTTTAGGTGTTTCTTTGTTGAGTAATGCCGATTTCATGAGGATAGCATTCCAGTCCATGGACGTTATAGAGAGGTTCCATCTGCATTGACTGTGTTCTAATAGTGCCATTCGGAGATCCACTTGTCAAAGCGTCTCAACACATATGGGCGACCGTATGGAAGTAAAGCCTAATTATTCTACGAATACATAGGCTCCTAGGATCTTTACATAACGCCATACATGGAGACACTGAAGCGACAACTGATTAACAAAGTCGCCCATGGGTGTGGAGAAAAGCGAACACTCACTAACGTCATGTCAACGCCACACTTGGAGTCCTCTTAGTTTGTGTTTAGTCATCAACTAGGATAGAAGTAAGCAAACATAGAACTTTCGTTGTTCAGCTTCAGGTTTGTCTACCAACTTCAATGGGAACAATGTCCCCCATGATCATCGCAATAACAATCGCACAATATTGTCTAACCACCTGGCAGCTATTGCTGAACTGCGGAATACCATTTAGAAGCTTGCCTGTCTACACCACGATGGTTAGGCCGCTGAATAAGCCACCACCAGGTAGTCGCTAGCGATCACTAAGTATAGACCGCTTCATGTGCTGGTTAGTATGTCTGTCCGCACTGGTTACGGCTTAAGCTCTGGATCACGTGGTAGCTAGGATCTCCTCCTTAGACAGGCATCCCAAGTTGTCCATTGGACGGTTTCATTTTGGAGACCAATCATCGAGGTTTCCTTCAGATAGGCATCAAAATAGAACAGGTGGTGCTCGACCACTTTTATTGGATTGTCTGTCGCTCATGCTGGGGGCCTCCAACCGGTGTCCCATTGGCTAACGTCCCATGACCAATGAGAGTGTCAACGACGCCAAAACAGTGTTCTTAGCCTCGCTAACTTGAAAGCACTGCACGCGATTTGGAAAACGTGCCCCGCTAAAAGCTTGGTACAATGTGCTAACATGCGTGTCAAATGGTATAGTATACAAGCGACTATTGAAGCAAGGTGGGGGAGGGCCAACAATTGGGAGGGGGTTGAAAACAGCGGGGTGGGGATAAAACTGAAGCTGGAAAGTGACGGTAAGAGAAAAAGTGTAAGGGAGGAAATAAGAAGATAGGAATGCTTAAGCAGTAACATTCAAAGCCCTATCCACCGTGCTCGATGCAGTAGATAGGGCACCGTTGATTATCCTCTGCGGTGGCCAGAGCATCAGGAAATTGTTTGAGGGAAGATTCATAGGATTGCTTAGGCAGGATACTGTCAGGTTGCCCAGACCTAGACAGGGCAGCGATTGGCGTTCGCAACCAATTCCTTTGGTTCAAAAACCTAACCGCAAGGCATCAGGTTTGGCGTTGGGCTACAAGGAGTCCGTTTTAAGGAATAAGGAGCCACCCTCATTCCAACCCCCAACCTGGAGGATCAGGAGGCTGAGTTTGTCTGGCCTCTAACCATTGAGCAATCTAGTACGAGTGGCTCTGATCGTGCATAAAAGCACCACCCAGCATAGCTCAATGGATCACTGAGGCACACAAACCATCGCACCAGGTTAAGGTCCAGCCTCATTGCGATGGCACCCCACCTGCAGCTGTATGTATCGCGCGAGGACAAGAATATACAAACATATAAAAGCTCGATTGATCACCATGTAGTTCGTTGAAGATCGATACCGTTTAGGGTTAAAACATCAGCGCCACTATAGGTGATGCAACGCAAGCTTCTGTAAACATAGATTGTCAAGACAAACCATGTGAAACGTTGGTCGTCTGAAGGATTCTCAGGTCTCTGAGGAACTGGCTTTACAGTCTTAGTTTGTAATGTAAGTCATGCTTGTTGCTAACATGAACGTGAGGTCCGATTGTTTCACTTTCACTGTCTGCGGATCACGCCGAGAGGCCGATATGCGTGTGATATGATTCACGTCTTTATGGACAGGTGGCTATGTCAGTCCCACCGTCTTTTGAAATTCCACGAACTCGCCAACCCGAAGCTATTTAACTGTCAAATCCCAGCTGTCAACTAGTCCTAAGCAAAAGAGTGGAATGGTCACCAGTTCCTGTTCCATGACCAGGATAGGAGTATAATGATGCGACCATATTTGTGTGGATTCCTATGTGTGCTTCTAGGTTGATCCCTACGGACTCAGTCGGGATGCATGTGTGTTGTTCTGTGTCTGCGGGACAAGTCAATTTCGGACACGTTCGCTGAGAACGCTGACAATGTGTTAACGTGTCCGATACAGCCATTTCGATCACATGTTCCAGGTCGTCAGTCTTGTTGAGGAAGCCTATGGCAGCATTCGTGACAAAGCTAGGCGCGAAAGATGGCTCCTTCACTTAAGGAGGCACTGATTGGCCACAGAATTGTTGCGACTTAGCACGCATGCTTCCGTCAACCCTACACATATGGCACCGATTCAAAACAGAACGTACATGCAAGTAAGGACGATTACGAGTTTGTGGTGTAGGCGCATTCGGCGGCAAGTGACTATGGCATAGCGACAGTGCACTGTTGGTCCATGGATGACAAGTGCACTGAAGGAGCGGTTTTTGCACCGAATTAAACGTGTGTGCTAATCTTCATCGTGCGGCTTCATGCTGGATATGATGTGAACGGATGTAGAGCGGATAGCTCATGACCTCTCTGCAAACGTGGGTGTCTCGTAAGTGGTTCTAGGTACAATGGCAGGAAAACTAGTACAAAGGATGATGTGTGGACAGCTGGGATGTTAATAGGTCAAATGAGATATGCTACCGGCCGTTGCCATTTCACTGGAACACCGTTTTTACCTTTACTGCCTCGGATTCAACAGTCTTCACCGGATATTATGGACGTTTTCTTCGATTATACTATTTCAAGGTCACAAGCGCTATACTGCGTGCATTGAGATGCTGCGCGTGCAACACGTAAATTTATCAAAGGTGCTTTTGTGATGTAAAGTACCACCGTCCCGAATGGCAGACTGGGATCCGACACTGCAACTTCGACAGAAAACGAATGACAAGGATTCACATTCTCAACGGAAATTATTGAATATATACGGGACCGTAATCGGGTGACACACATTTGCACCCGACGCCAAACTTTCCACTGATAAATCAGTATTTTTAAATTTGTCATTTTAATCCATCCGCGGTAGTTATTGTAAAATGCTGAAAATGCACCCTTTCGGGTACATAAAGCCTATAAGTACTTAACTTGAATTATTTCGTGATTAGTTAAACGCGGGTAACTGTGGAAGTGAATCAGAACCTCAAAAGTGACTGATAGCCAGAACAGGGAGGTTATAATACTTATAGCGGAAAGCGGTGGAAAAATGGAAATCTGAGGAGGGTGCTTTGGTAAAATTCAGTGCAGGAAGGTATCACCAATGCGGATGAGGCAGGCAGTAGGAGGGAGGGGGGACGAAATGGTGCATAAATAATACATCCTGCCCAATGAAAGACCAAACTCAGCAATCATCACACAGTGACGCGCTGTTGTTCATGGGAGAAGTGCCAAAACACGAAGGAGATGCACCCGGTGTCCCAAGCCGATTTGAGCACAATATCGTTGAGGAGCTTTTTGCTGTAACAGTGATTCCACATGGAGAGATCGCAGTTGCAGTCCGACTCAGGTGGGGGTGGCTTCACTTGAACCAAATTGACACAACGACGACACTTGAATCTGGGGGAAAAGAGAAAGAGAATATGATAAGTAGTGAGCTGTCCAATCATAGGTGTTGGTAACATTCAAATAGATCACCAAATAAAGCGATCATTACAACAGAGTTCCATCGATTTTTTAAGAACCTGGTGGACCAAGAAAAGGAACATCGATCAATAGAATTCAACAGCATACCTGAATGAACTAAATCCCAATTTCGCTTAGGTCCTCTGCCTAAACAATATAATCCGACGCTCGGGACGGTCAACAGGCTCGACGCTACTGACCACGATAACAGAATTACCCTCATGCATACATCCTCTAACTTCTGGAGGAAAGCGAATGCCAGTGTGAACAAGGTTCTAAATGACGCTGGAAAGTACTACAGTCGAACAACGCCAGAGGCGATGACGGTCGTCTTGTCCATCACATTCCATACAAATGAAAAGTTACGCTGTAAACCTTTCCCAAGACGGTGAAGTGTGCACAATGTACAGTGCCCTTACAACGGCTGTACTACAACATGTGTTTGGGGACAGAAAACAGGAAATGTACTCCTGAGAAACAACTTTACTGTCGATAAACTGCAAGAGAAGCAGTGGAACAATAAAAATGCGCAGTCAATATACCATTGATAAATTAGGCCGAAAAGAGAATTCCCAACCGACATAACAGCGGTATCAAATTCAGGTGCATTACATGAGGTGTGTTAAAGCCGAAGACGATGCGGCTGATGCTCGACGTCCGAGTACGGGGCGGAAGATTCTATCAAATGCGTAGCTAAACTGAAAGCCCTGCGAATTATGCCATACAAATTCCTCAAGATTCCCATCCAGAGAGCAAAAGAAAAGGTGACTAACCAAACGACCCCGTAAAGTGTATGTTGCATGAGGACATGACGGACAGAATGCAACGAGAAGTGAGCATTAGAACAGATAGACCTCTAGGGTGATCACCTCGAACACTGTGCTCGCTAGGTGGCGCAGTGAAGACTGCTGAATCAAACGAGATTTCGTAAAATATATGGGAACGGGACGTGCCAACTACGTCTCCAAAAGAACCATACAGATTGTATTCCACCGGCAGTCTCAGTATCGATGACACAGATAAGAAAGTCCGCATCAGTCACCAAACGGTTCAACTCATTGGGCAAGCAAGAGAATACGGTGCGCTAAGTGGGCCATGCTAATAGGATGTCGAACGGACAGATTCGGTTGTAGCCAGTGATTAACTAGATATGGTAGCAGTACGGAGATTTCCCCGGTTTGCTTGAGTCCGCTGTGAAAACTCCTAACTAATACATTGCATACTTATGTGGTCAGTACGGAATGTTGAACCACACGTTGAGTTCGAGTATTTGAATCCAGTACCCTCTCCGTTTGCCGCTCGGTTGAGTTAGAACGCGTGACCGATTCATGTACTGGACATCTCCGTTCTCCTAACTAGCAAATGCATCTGCGTCGTCTGTCATAGCGAGAACAACAGGGAATATTTTATTGTACAAAATAAAAGCATCCCTGCATTTGACCTGCCTTCTTGAACAGCTATATTGGCTCCCGCTATAGATGGGGCGTGTCATTAGTTGGAAGGTAAGTGACTTGTCTAGACTGACTAAGATGTCATCAGTCGACTGGTACCTTCCGTTTTCGAGGCTTGATCTCTAAACGTTACTAGCGTGCAAATAAGCAGCGCTATATCGCTTAGTCGTGTCGACCGCTACCACACACCTTGGCTCAGTGGTCTTACCCAGAGAATCGTAAGAGTGGGGTGGCGGGCTCTAGTCCCATGCGGGCAGATGAAATACACACAACCAAAAGTGTCCGAACGTATGAGACGACCGTCAGCGATTCGCCAAATGTGATGGCCGTCTTCTGACACAGTTCATACGTAATGAATTCAACCTCTAAAACATTCAACTTTTCTGACTAAATTTCGAACCTGCAAGTACATTTATAAATAATGACCAATTAGATAGGGCGCGTGTTGGCTAGACACCAACTGACTGTGAGTAGTACCAGTGGAGTAGTTTGAAATGCAACGTACTTTGTGTCAAAACATTATGCCTTCGTTTGAGTGTACTCTGGCAGAGTGCCAGTAAGTTGTGCTCAACCAACAAGGGCTCCGTGACTATAATAACAAATAACAGCCAACCGAGATGTTTATAAAGATGCTTATAAATGACCCATCGCAAACAACTCTTAGCCAGATACGCTTCTACGCATTTGGAGAAATAGCAGACCGCCGTCTCGTCCAGGAATCAAGTCTGGACGGCAGCGGTGCATGTCACGGGCCATGGGTGGTGGCTGCAGACCATCATGGCTGACATAACAACCACGATACAACGAAGCTCATCGTCGATTACCATACAGCCACGGCAGAAACAACAATAAACAAGGAACCACAGTGTCGTGTTTAGCCGGTGGCTTCAATCACCAGAGGGCGACAACTTCATCTGGTTAGGATGTGAGGATATAAGTGGGTTCACGGTTTGACTAGGGGATTAGATCAGCCAGTTTCAACGGGGACCATATAGCCCCCTGGGGGCCATAGAGACTTAGCAGGGGGGCCTGGGGGCTCCAAATAACTTTTAAAATTTTCTGATAGTTTCTCTCCGCGCACTGATCTTCCCTGGTAACTACCGATTAGTGTAATGAATTACGCGTGTGCAATTGGTTGTTTACGAAGGTGTGAGAACCAGACCGGGCAGACTTTCTGTTGCGCAGCTGGTATGGCTCCACGAATCTCGCACAGATTTCACCGGGCTCACCACAAACGGGCAATTACCATACGGCGACTTACACGGAGTAACTAACAACCGATTCGTCCTCAGGTCTTTGATGCCTATACATAATGAACCTAGAGAACTCTCCTCAGAATACTTAGCAGTTACCACACAAAGCCATATTGACACTGAGTTTTGCTCAGGACAACACCACTGGGCGACAACTCATGTGCCGGTTAGTTTTCTCGTTCGGGTCTCAGTGCGGTAGCGCTAGGTTGTGCACTGTTCGTCTCTAGTCTCAGCTCGCGTGTACGTCTGGCCGCTAGGTCACATTAGCCAGCAATGTTTCGAATTCCAGTGGCTACTCTGAAGAACGTTCGTTCGTCCCGTCTAAGAATCGAACAGCTAGGACGTTTTATAGCGCTTTTTAAAGATTCAGTTCAGTTGACGTTTTCAAATTAGCGAGCAGTTTTGTCAAGCTACAGTAGACGTGTGGAGATCCGGTCCCTTTGGTGAATTCGACATAAGATTACATAAGGATACTATTCTTAATACTCATAAAAAGCAAATGCCTTGCAATCACACATTGTGCGCCATGTTTCGCAATATCCGATGTACGTTTCGTTGTTCACTCGCCCATGCCGGTTTAGAAATCTGTCCGGTAATTTCTTCCTTGTGTGTCTCTTGTGTCCATTATTTTGCATGTTGTCACTGTTTGCTCCGACTTTCCTGTAATGAATATGTGTGTCCAGTGAGCATTGTAATTTTCTGAGTTCTATTTATTTTCTTCACTGGATGCTGTCAATAAGTTTTCATCAGACATTTTAGGTATCCACGGGAGTTTCAATAGCATGTTCAGAAACCACCATTGGGTTTGCCTCTAACAGCGTTTCTACACTTGTACACGTTAATACTGGAGCCAACAACAGATAAGTATGCTAACCGAATGTGTTATAATCTGACGGTCAAGTAATAATAAATATAGTGCCACCAATCACCTTGGCGAATGATGTTATTTACTACAGATGATATAACTGTGTAAGAAAAGTAAAACCATAGCAACATTTAAAATATTTCGGAAAACTGGTAGCTCGGGTTGATAATTCAGTTGCTCATTTGTTCGCCCAGCTGGGAAATTTGTTTGTAAACGTTTCGCCGCCAGACGAGGCGGCATCATCAGTGCGTCCAGATGTGGAGTGTAATGTCGAGATTTCTCAGCTCGGCGGACAACTGAGTAACTGACATGGCAAATTATTTGTCTTCAGGTATTGACAATTTAGAACGACATATTTCGGAAATGAGATCTTCGGTCAAGAAGAAGTGTCCGCAGTACTCTGTGGAATAACTGTCCTTTGGACTTAACACATCATCTCGAAAGCCCGTTCCCCTATGTTATATTGGCTGAAACACTCTTTTATGTGAAAGTATGTAACTATGTAAACTGAAAAATCATTTGGAAAGTGTTCATAGGGACGAGTGATAAGTCTGTGGATTTTTTCAGAAAGCTGCGTGATAGTTTCGAAAAAAGATCAACTTTAAAGACAATAGTTTCTGACAAGGCAAAAATATGGCGAATGGACTTACAGCGGTCCTATATATATTTTGCAACAGTCTATGAATAGACATTGAGCCATCGGAAACCATGGAACTCGAAACAAGGTACAGAAATAGTAAAAGAAAACACAACACAACATAACAAAGTTCATGATTTCGTCAGAGGGCGAAATACTACCCGGTTGCCCAGGCCGAAGTAGGGTGTTGACTTAGGGGACAACACCCCGAGCCTTTGGCTGAATAGCCTGCCCGCAAGGCAGCGGAGCGAATTCAGGGAATCGCGCCCATTGGGAGCCGGTGACTGATTGCTCAGTTCATGCGCCTTTCGTTTGTTCCTTTGTCAAACAGGGGCCCAATGCTCCCCAGTACAGCGTCCTATAAAATCAGCAAGTTGATTGCAAAAAATCGCAGCCCACTTAATGTTAGAGAAGATATTATCCTACCTTCAGTATCACTAATACTGCCTGCTCTGATGAATATGAATCGACATGAAGTAGTTCAAGTCATTTCACTCAGCAATTCAACTGTATCTAGGAGAACAGATGAAGTGGCTCATGACATGGAAAGTAATTTGCTGCAGCCAAAATTTTTTTTGTTAACATTAGATGAAGTCACCTTACCTGACAACAATGCACTTCTTGTGCTATATGCCCGAATTTTTAAATGATAATGAATTAGTGGAAGAGATGTTGTTTACCAGTCGAATTAAAACGCACACCAAAGGCTAGTCTATATTTGAGTTGGT